ATCCCATCCCATCCCATCCCATCCCCTCTCACCTGTTCTCCTCCTCCTTCTCCCTCTCCCTCTCTCGGAGCTTTTCCAGCCATTCCCGAGGGCAGGAAAATCCCTGGAGCTTCCGAGCCAGGGCCAGCACGAACGAGGCGGGGTCACCTGGGGACCCCCAAACACGTCACACCCCTTGCTGAGACCCCCAAAAACTCATCACACCCCCTGCTGAGACCCCCAAAAACTCATCACACCCCTGGGGGTTTCTGGGTGGGGGTCTCAGTGGGTGGGGGTCTGCAGGGGGGCTTTGGGGGGGGGTCTCAGGGGGGTCTCTGGGTGGATTTTGGGGTGTTTTTAGGGTGTTTTTGGGGTCTCTCTCCCCCTGCACAGCCAGCCTGGGGCTCCAGGGTCTCTGGGTAGGTTTTGGGGTGTTTTTGGGGTGTTTTTGGGGTGTTTTGGGGGTCTCTCTCACCCTGCACAGCCAGGCTGGGGTTCCAGGGTCTCTGGGTGGATTTTGGGGTGTTTTTGGGGTGGATTTGGGGTCTCTCTCACCCTGCACAGCCAGGCTGGGGCTCCAGGGTCTCTGGGGGTGTTTTTGGGGTGTTTTTGGGGTCTCTCTCACCCTGCACAGCCAGGCTGAGTCTCCAGGGTCTCTGGGTGGGTTTTAGGGTGTTTTTGGGGTGTTTTGGGCTCTCTCTCACCCTGCACAGCCAGTTTGGGGCTCCAGAAGACCCCGGCGTTCCGCAGCAGCTGCTCCCTGTGCCGATTCACGGCCACCACGGCGGCGCCGCGGCCGAAGAGGCGCCCGTAGGACAGGCGGAAATCGCACACCGCGCCTTGGGGAGGGGGGAGGAAACAAACATACGGGTGGGGGGGTGCTCAGGGACCACCAGTACCCCCCTCAGAACCCCTTCGGGGTCCCCATTTCCCCCCCAACCCCTCCCATCGGTGGTACCTGCGAGCAGCACCAGGTCCGCGTCCCGCAGGGCCTCGCGCCGCCGGTGCCGCAGCCCCAGGGGGCTCTCGGGGGGCAGCAGCCCCCGCGCCGCCCCCCCAAGGTAGCAGGGGGTGCCCAGGGACTCCAGCGCCGAGCTGGGGGATGGGGAGGGGGTGGGGGGGGTCAGTGGGAACTCCAAACCGGCTCGGTTTGGGCACAGGCTGGTTTGGTTTGGGGCTTTTCCAAACTGGTTTGGTTTGGGGCTCCAAACTGGTTTGGTTTGGGGTCTCAAATTGGTTTGGTTTGGGGTCCCAAACTGGTTTGGTTTGGGGTCCCAGTCTGGTTTGGTTTGGGGCTCCAAACTGGTTTGGTTTGGGGCTCCAAACTGGTTTGGTGTGGAGTCCCAATCTGGTTTGGTTTGGGGCTCCAAACTGGTTCTGTTTGGGGTCTCAAATTGGTTTGGTTTGGGGTCTCAAATTGGTTTGGTTTGGGGTCCCAAACTGG